GGGTAAGAGATGGAAACATGATTTTGTGAACCCTTAAGAAGATGAAGTTAGTACCAGTAGTGGGTTTTCTAAGAAAAAAGACATCTGATTTCTTAGTTTGTGAAATATGGCATGGTTAACAACATGAAGAAAAAAAAAGGCCTAAGCATATTTCAGGATTCTTTGTGGTGGTTGTCTGTGAAAGCCAACCATTGGACATCATTTAAATTAATAATCACGTTCTATCTTCTTCTGATTTGAAATGTGTGATTCACAAAATTTGCTGTTGTTCACTCATTATGCTGATGAATAAAATAATAGTGCTTTGATTATGTATGCTGTCCTTCTTGGAGAGCCAGAGATATATTACCATCCGTTTTTTTTTAATTATTCATTTCTCTCTTTCATGTCTCTTTTTCACCATTCCATTAATTCGGTGGTTTATGTGTAGACATTTTTTCTTGCTATTTTGCCTTTTTAAGTCTGTTTATCTTGCTGTGGAGATTTTTATGGAGAACTGCCTTGTTTTGAATAGGTAATGCTAAGAGTTGTCTGGGAACTCTTCTTTCATAGTGAGCTTCAAACATTTCAAAAGCAAGATGCTAATGATTTACTAACTATAAGGTCCTGTTTGGTCAGAAGGAGTGACTATTTGCAATTCAATTGGTGGAAGTTGTTATTAGCAATCACTTAATTGTTTCATCGTATTAGAAGTAAATTGATAGGAGTAGGGAATAGATATTTCTTGTATATGTTGATCTCCTTACAATGTAGCTTACTTTTGTAGCATCCTCCAACCAAACAAGCTGAGCTCTAGGGGTTTTTTATTCTCTACATTATGAACAGAAAGGAAGATACCATTTTTAACGTGCCTTTTAGCTGACAGACTCAAGCTGCATATATTTGGCTGCTGTTATGAGAACACCATTGACATTCTTTACCCTCATGTGTTTAAATGTTGCCTTCTATTCTTCCTATTTTCATTTCTTCTTTAAGCAAAAAAAGTGGGTTTGGTATTTGCTTGTGAGTATTAGTTTTGATCATGAAATAACACTTGTTGGTAACTAATCTATAAAGCATACCATCTTATGCGTTGAATAGAAGTAAAATTTTTGTAGTGGAAGGACTGGATAATGTTGTCTTAGGATGATACCATACATATGGCTCATGGTTATTTTATCTTGAAGTGTTTCAGGACATTCTGTTGATTTTCTATAGAATACATAGTCATGAGCTAAATTCTAGTCATTAAGTGATTTGATTTTCCTTGACAAATCAACAATCGTACCCCTTTGGGGAAAATGGTGGAAGTTTGTATTCAACATTTCTTATTTCTTTCTTTGAAGGTGGATTGGTTTCCAATTTGTTTGTTGATTTACTATGAAATTCACCAGTCACACCATGTGTGGACATCAAACTCAGACTAACCTGATTTGGCTTTTTAGGTTACTTTTTTCGTGCATACGCAGATTGGACCTATAGAAACTTCAATGATGGTCAAACGAGGAAATAGAAACATAAGTGATAGCTTATCTCCTGCAGTTTCCTCATTAACACCTGGGTTTCCTAATAACCCAAGTGACATGGCATCTAGAGAGTGCAAATATACTTCATAGGAAGCGACATAGCTAAGGACAATGGGGAGTAACTGTCCAACTGGTTGGTCTATTATTTTCCATCCTTAGATGTAATTCTTTTTGTGCGTGCATCTGTGCGGATGTAGTCAAAGCTTTTTGTTGTCCTCACCTTGGTAACAATTGCTTACTCTGCTCACTCCATTATTATTGTGAATATTGTGTAAGCCTTATAGATTTATGGTTTCAATGATAGTTAGCACTTTGCAGGAACCAATGACTTTATTTTCCCATTACCAACATAACTAATGATGATTTGGAATGCAAGCTTTTTTTCCTTATTTTAGTTTATTTACAGCAATTAGGGTCTTGAGATGAACTTTAGATAAGACAAGTCTGCAGAGAATGCTGAGTTTTGGCTAGGGCTGCTAAATGGTCGAGTCACAAGTTAGCTTGACCTAAACTCAACTTGTTTGCTAAACAAGCTCGACCATGATTTTGATCACTCAAGTTTATGTCGCTCTTGCTAGCCGTGTGTTGTGTGGGCGATGTGAATGGAGATGGCTTAAGTGCATTGACAGTTAAAATTTAAAAACCTCCATTGCAGCTACAGTATATTTTATCTGGATGGTATTTAAGAAACAACAGTCTTTACAGGAAAACATAGAGGAATGGATGCAACTGTTATTCATATTTCCTATACTGTAAATTTGGCCTTGATGTGAATAGTTTTTATCACCCTGTGTAGGCAGTGAAGTATTTGTAGAATGCTTTTTTTGTTTTTTTGTTTAATGAACTAACCTTTCATCTCAAAAATAAAAAATAAAAATTAAGCTCAAACTCGATCTTGCGCTTAACAAAACATGCTGATTAGCGCAATAATCTTAAAAATTAAGTAAAATTACTCGATCTAATTGGGCTTGAGCCCGACCCTTCCCTTTAAACTCAATGAAGTTTTAATTCAATTTGAGTCTTATAAGAATAAAATATTATTACAGTTATAATGTCATATAAAATTATAAGATTATAATTGTCAATAACTTAAGTGATTATCTTCTTTTACTAAAAATAAGAGATTTTAAGTTTGAATTACATGGTATACGGTGAAGTGGAATAAGAGATGAGAGATGATTATCTTTTATTGTGTAATCAAAATAAAAAAAAAATTATAAGGTTATAATTATAATACGATATTAAATAAATGGATGTATATAATATTTTAAATAAATATTTAAATAAAAAAATTAATTATATAATAATATATCATATTATAAGTTTACAATATTATATATAATATTTTTTATAAGAGTACTTCCAACCTAAGCTTTACCAGGATAATTTGAACTCAAGCTCTGCTCATTTTGTTAATAGTGCTTGTGGCTACTGATCTTTGGTTGGGGGATTGATACGAAATTGCTGATTTGAGGATGGGCTTTGACACATCAATCACTCCCTAAATGAAATTCGGTCTTTTCTTTTTCTTTGTTCTCCGCCATTAGCAGTTTGGGATTGTCAACTCATCTATACAAGATTTCTAGCTATTTATCAGTCAATGAATCAGAAATCACAAATTTTAGAGCGGTCCACGGGATGACTATGACCTTGCTACATGTGCATGCATTAATTATTTGCCTATTCTCTAGCCGGCTGTATAGAAGTCAATTCTAGTTACGTTGCTAACACACCAAAATGGACGTACTGTACAGCGAGATGATCCAGAACAGGGACCAAATCAAACAACAGGGCAAAACTGTACAATTCTATGGGCGTACCAGATAAAAAAACAGGGCAGACTATGCAATTCTATGGGTGTACCAAATCGAAAAAACAGGACAAACTATACAATTCTATGGTTTTTTTTTTTT